TATAAATCCTATGCAGTTGAAAAAAAAATTTATAAAATTTTATGAAAAAATACCTCTATACTTATAAAAAATATTTTTTAAATTTCCGACCATCGTAAACTCCACGAAGTTCGACGAAAATTGCCATACCTAAGGACAGCTTTTACCAACGATGACAGTGACCTGCCCTCGGAATGGTAGCCATGAAAATTGGACACGGAACTTTAAACACTTCCATCTCCTCTAAAATTAATTATCAATAACGAAAGTTTTGGTTCTTTTTTTTTTTTTTTCACCAAATAAAAGTATTGGTTTTTTTATTCAACTCACATGACCCTTTTTTTTTTTTTTTCAATACCAATTTTTCCTGCTAACCACTGCTTTTACATGCGTTTAATCATTTGTTTATAAAAATAATAAACCCTCTCATGCTTCTGCCTCTCTTCTTCAGCGCTGCATTGGTTTTGTTCAAAAGCTTTTAAGCTTCCAAAGTTTTGATGTTTGAGCCGTCGACCTTCCCGGCTGTTTAAGCACGTTGGAGCCTCCCTGTGCTCCCTCCTCTAATGATCCTTTCGAATCTGTCGGCTTTTGGATCCTTTTTAGTAACCCCTTTGGTTTTCTTGTTTTTTCTTATTGTTTTGTTTTACGTTGTGTTCTTGTATAGTTTATATATTTCAGATCTGACGACCCTCGATTCTATCCTACAAATCTTGTTAGGTGCTCGCTGATTTTGATTTGTTTACAGATCTAGCGGTGGTCCCCTTCATCCGGCAGCTTCTATCGGTGGCGGTGCACGCAGGGGATCCCAGATCTGACAACCTCACGACCCACCTACAGCCTCCACCTGATCGGGTCTCCGCATCGACATCCGAAACCTGGCGCACCTTCCACATGGGTAGATTAAAGAGTATCCCGTTTGAATCGCTTGACCGAAGGACGCTGTATAGCTGAGCCCTCAACGGTTGTTCGAGTGTCATATGCACTTCCTTCGGCCTCTGAATATGGATCTACTCTAGTTTCTTGCTCTTGATATAATTTTACTATTTATTATTCTTGTAGATGCCGTATGGCGGTGTTTGAAATGAACTAATTTCGTTATGTTAAAAAAAAAATCATTTGTTTTTTTAATTTAAGTGTTTAAATTTAATTAATTAAAAAGTTATTTTTTTATCAATAATTTAAAATTTTCGTTATTCCTTCATAGTTTTTCGTGTTAAGAAAAAAAAATCATCTCAACAGAGGGCTTAAGTATTGAATAGAACCTTAAATTTTTACTAAATTTACAATTAAGATTTTAAAATTTTATTACACTCAAATAAAATCTTAAAATCATAAAAATTCTTAATTGAGTTCTCAATTAGAAGGGAACTGTTAAGCCCATAAAATCAATCATCAATGCTGTTAACTCTAATTCGTTAATATTCAAAATGGTCTGTAACTTCTTCTTTTTTTGGTTTAAATGACTCTAAAATTTTCAATAACCTCTGAACAATTCTTAAGCTTATTTGTTCTATAAATGTGATAACTTTATACTACCTACAACTAAAAATTAATTTTATGGTACTGAAAATTAATTTTTATTTTTAATTTTATGTGCAATTTATATGGACTATTATAAAAAATTACATTATTATTTTCGGAATTATAACAAACAAAATATATCAATTAATTAAGTAAAAAAAGAACAAAGGAAAGAGAAAGGGAGGATGTAGAAAGAAGGTAGGGGTATTATCAGGTCCACAAATTCATCGTCTTTTTTAGAATAAATAAAAATAAAAGTTTAGGTTATTTAATTAATAAATTAAAAAAATAAAATTTTATTTAATAATTAATTAATATTTAATGAAATCATCTAACAATATTTTCGGATTCAAAAGAATAAAAAAAAAAATAGAGGGAAAAAAATTCCTCTATTTTGCTATTAAAAGAATTGGAGCGGAAGGAAAGGAAGCCTTAAGCCTTTTACTCTTTCTTATTTTTTTGTTCCAATTTTACTTATGAAGGTTGATGGGGGACGGAAAATGGTGGAAAATAAAGAGATACAACATCTTTTCATTTCATTCCCTACTTTCGTTTTTGTTTCTCTCAAATTAAAGGTATTGTAGTAGTTAATTAAAAATTTATTTTAGTTAATTAAAATTAAATTTTTAGTTGTGGGTTCTAAAAATAAGTTTAAAAAACATTTTCAAGTTATTAAGAGATAAAATAGAAAAGTGAGAGACTTTGAACATTTAACCCATTAGAGTTATCTATATTGATGAGGACCTATTGGGTTCGGTTCAATTGGATCCACATTGAGAATTCCAATGATTTAGTAATCTTATTTGAGCATAATAGAACTTTGAAACCTCAATTACGGATTTAGTGAAAGTTTGGGATCTTAGTCAATTCTTAAGCCATTAACACTATGGGGGTGTTTGGCAAGCTTAAGAGTGTGTTCAGTTACAGGTTACTTCCGTTGAAAACTTTTTACTGTAAAAATAATTAAAAAATACTATATAAAAATTAAAAAGTATAGTATGAAAAGTTATTAAGTAGCTATTAAATTATTAAGTTTTATAATGAAATTTTATTAAAATTTTACTTATATTATTAATTTTATTATATTTAATAAAAATTAATATAAAAAAATTTAATAAAAAAATTATTAAATAAGCCTAATATAAAAAAAGTCAAATGAAAGTTTTTTTCGAAATAGATATGAAGAAAATTTTACATATTAAAGATTGTGTCAAGACAAATAAAATTTAAAAATACTGTCTTATTTTTATTTATTGTAATTTTAAAATGTGTAACTATCAAATATATTTACAAAATCCTAAAATGAGGTATTTCCTGGGAAAATAAAAGGATTAAAGCCAACTATAGTCCCTACTTCTAATTTTCATTCGTTGTCCTCCATATACTTACAAGTTGTTCAAAGTTCTCCCTCTACTCTTTCAAACCCTGCTGTTGTGCTTCCTCTACTTTAACTTCCATTACATTTACCTTCCTCTCCAACACAACCTTAACATTGTTTATAACTCCTATTAACGGAGGAATTTTTGAC